TAAAGTAGGTAAAAATAAAAATTGTACTTAAATAAAAATTTCTTCATATTTTAATTTTTAACTTTAATTATTTATTTTTTAATTAAAATAATTTTTATTTTTATTTATTCATTAAATGTAATGTAGGTAAAAATAAAAATTGTGCTTAAATAAAAATTTATTTTTATTTAAGCTTTTAATTTTCCTAATTAAGAAAAGAAAATCATAAATTTAAAATTAATGTAATTCTTACCAAAACGGACATGTCTTCCTTCAAATCTCAATTTAATTTACTTAATGTTTTAAAACTTAATTTGGTAACTGACCCATTTTTAACCTCTGTTCTAATTCAATTAGTTTAATTGCCTAGTTCTATTTATCAATTTAAAATTGACTTTTTTTAATATTTTTAAATATTTTATTGAAAATGCTATAGTTCAATATTATGTGATATTATAAGTTTATAATATGATGTATCATTTTTTAATTAACTCTTTTCATTTAAAAATTTACTTATAATATTATATATTTCTATTAGTTTAATATCACATTATATTTATTTAATGCTATGTAGAATTGTAGGCCCAAAATCTTACGTGGCATTTTAATTATAGAATTACCTATATCTTATGGCTATATCAAGTATTTTTTTATTGTCATATACTAATATTAACTTATTTTCAAAATATAATTATATTATTGGCAACTTAAAAAGTTTAATTTAATTAAACATATGTAATTCAAAAGATGAAATGAGTTTAAAAAAAAAAGTAAAAAATTAAAAAATTTTAAACTAGTTAGGTCGGATCAAAAGGTTTACAAGGTCGGCCGAGTTGACTAAGTTTGCCAAGTTTAACCCAATTTTTTTTTTTTTTAAGATGGGTTAAAGCATGTAACCAACTCGTTTTTGTTCCCAAATTCGGTTCAACTCGCCAAGAATAATAATTGTTTTTTATTTGGAATAATAGTTGTTTAATAGTGGTCTAAATAAATATTTTATTTAGAATTTATTTTGATCCCAACTCTTGAATTTAATCTCAAGCATCATCTAAGCCATTTGATTTCTATTTGGGTTTAACAGATTTTGAAGAATTTGCCCAACCCAATAACGCTGCAAAGTCTTCAATCACGACTGCAATTCAA